TTATAAAATTCATAATTTAATATATTTTCACCGAGTCGGGATAAAAAAATCTATTATTTAACTAAGGTATTAATTTGTCAAATATTAATTTATCGATGTTCTACTGTATGTTTAAGTTAAAGATTTTATCGAACTAAATATGGTACGGATATGTATCAAATATCAACTAAGCTTTAGCTTATTAATATCGGGAGCCTCTCTCACATCGGTGTTTGCTTAGAAGTTGTGGGTTAGAATTTTTTTAAGGGGTTTTTGTGCATAAGTCCCCAACCAAGCATTTTTATTATTCTAGGTTTAGGGGTTATATCTCTTTCACCAATAAGCCCATCCTTTTAATATTTATTATAAATAAATGAAACATTCATGTATATAACAATATTACCCTTAACCCTGTATACCCAATTCTTAATTGTAACCCCAATTTAATCAATTTTGTCCACAAAAATCTAATTTTGACCACAAAAATTCAATTTTGACTTTTTTTTAGCATACTTTTATTTGCTTCAATTTCATTATTAACTTAATTTAATCTCAATTTGACCCCAAATTTCACAAATTATTCAAGTTTGACCCGAAATTTTTTTTTTCAAAAAAAAAATTTCAAAAAAAAAATTTCTTCCAAAAAATATTTTTTTGCCACCGGATTCCAGCGTTGACTTTTCAATTTTTTTTTTCTTTTCTTTCGGATTTTTTCGCCGGTATCCGGCGTTGCCTTTTTTTTTTTTTCTTTTTCTTTTTTCTTTTCTTTTCTTCCGAATTTTTTCGCCGGTCTCCGGCGTTGACTTTTTTTAGTGTTTTTTTTATATTTTTTTTTGTTTGGTTTTTTTTTTTTTTTTTACGTCCGCGGCTAAACGTTGACCGTAATTGTGTTGTCACTGACAGTAAATTAACGCAATTATACTGCCAATGTCAATTAATAAACGTAATTGTATTGCCGTTGACAATACATTTATGTAATTGTGCTGCCGTTGATAGTAAATTAATGTAATATTATTAGTTTTATTTTTTGTGGTTTTTATTTTATTTTGTTTGCTTTATTGACAAGTCAACGTAGTTATATTACTGTCGTTGATAGTAAAATAACTGTAAACACAATTATATTACTGTCAACAACATCAATATTATTATTTTTTTGGGTTTTTTGTTTTGTTTGAGTTATTCACGGAGTAACGTAATAATATTATTGTATATTATTGTAATATTACTGTAAACACAATAATATTACTGTGGTTGACGGTAATATTAGTGTTGATATAGTAATATTGTTGTCAACCACATCAATATTATTATTTTGTTTGAATATTTTGTTTGTTTGAGTTATTCACGGAGTAACGTAATAATATTACTGTCTCTTATTGTAATATTACTATGGTTGACAGTAATATTACTGTTGTTATAGTAATATTACTGTTGTTATAGTAATATTACTGTCACTCACAGTAATATTAATTCTTTTGGTTTTTTACTATGTTTACATTTGTTGAACGGTCAACATAGTAATATTACTCTATTACACAATAATAATGAGTTTTGTTGTGTTAATATTACTGTGCTAGAGATTAATATAGCAATATTACTGTGTTAAACTGTAGTTTAGTTTAATTTTACCGTGTTTAACAGTAATATAGTTAATATTACTGTCAATCACAGCAATATTTCTGTTTAAACGAAAAAAAAAGGTTATAGAAAGAAAGAAAAGAAGAAAAGAAAAAAAAAATCGAAAAAGTCAACGCCGGAAATCGGCGAAAAAATCCGGAAGAAAAAAAAATTAATTTTTTTTTAAAAGTCAACGCCGGAGACCGGCGGGAAATTTTTTTTTTAGTAAAAAAAAGGTTTCGGTCAAAATTGAATAATTTGTGAAATTTGGGGTCAAATTGAGATTAAATAAAGTTTAAGGATAAAATTGGTGCATATTAAAGTATGAGGGATTATTTTAGTCATTTACAAAAATTTGGACCATGTATGGACTTATTGGTAAAAAAGTTTTTTGTCTAAATATCTTTATGAATAAATACCCATTGATAAACTTATTTATAAAGACCAATTTTTTTAATGCGTGTGTTGAATATGTGCTATATATATATATATATATATATATATATATATATATATATATATATATATATATATATATCTCATGAATTTGTTACTGGCAACATCATAAGTAGGAAATTTGTGGTCCTCTTGTCTGTATCTCATTTCTAGTAGACATTAGCTATGTGTCTATTATGAATTTATTTTTCAATAATTTCAGTTATTTGGATTTTTCTATGTAAAAAAATCAATTTTCAATTAAACTAATTTATATAAAGGTTACCGTTTCCCATTCTATTTAATGTTCCGTTTCCCATTCTATTTAATGTTTCCTATTGAGAGAAATGAAATATAATTCTA